ATTACTTATTTAATTTTATTTATTATTAACATTATTTTAAATTGCTATAGGGCATGTGTACTCACCAGAGAGAGACAGAGAGCGAGAGAGAGAGAGAGAGAAAGGGAGAAAGCAGGCTACCAGGTCTAGGACTTGAACCACAGTTAGCCATGTGAGAGTCCAGCACCCTAACCACCACGCCACCCACTGGCCCAACTACTTTCCTCTTAATTTTTAAAAGGTAAATATTTTAAATGATCTGAACCGTGAATTTGGGCATGAGAACACCTACCAGAACTAATTCCATAGGGAACTCGATGGGGTAGCGATTGAGAGAAATTTTGATACATTTGTTGACTCTCAGAGCAACAGCAGTAGTGAGAAATAGTAGGATGCTGGTGGAATTAGCTTGGGGGAGATTTACACAGTAGTTAATTATGTTCTGAAAGAAAACAAAAGGACAGAGGGTTAGGAAGCTGTGAACTATTTGTCTAAATATAGAAAATGACACTTTCTAGATTAGTTAAAAAATAAATCCCTAGGCAAAACTGCTGGGCAGGAGGTGCTTTGTGGGCATTCGTAGAATAGGGGGGCAAGCACCATGGGAAGGTGGAGGGGTGGAGTGTGGTGTGGGTGTGGGGCTCAGGGGAGAGCTTTTTTTTTTTTAAGTTGAAAAAGAAATGAAAAGACAGTAATGCTCAATAATGAGATGACACTTTCTATGTTTCAGTGGAAAGGACCTAGGAAGTTTGATGATCAGCTTCTTACGAATTTTCCGAGACTACATATATTCTTTAGTTTAGCTCCTATTTCATTCACTTTATTTATTTATTTTATTAAAAAAAATTTTTTAGAGGTTTTCGCTATAGGGTGTGTGCACTCGCTAGAAAGATAGACACAGAGAGACAGAAAGCGGGAAATTATCCCCAGGGGGGATGGACACGCCGCAATCCCTTCTCTCCAATCTCCTCTCGGGATCTTGGGCACTCATGCACACGCACCCGGCATGAGTTTTAAGCCACCGGGTCCGGGACACGAACCTATTTAATTTTATTTATTATTAACATTATTTTAAATTGCTATAGGGCATGTGTACTCACCAGAGAGAGACAGAGAGCGAGAGAGAGAGAGAGAGAAAGGGAGAAAGCAGGCTACCAGGTCTAGGACTTGAACCACAGTTAGCCATGTGAGAGTCCAGCACCCTAACCACCACGCCACCCACTGGCCCAACTACTTTCCTCTTAATTTTTAAAAGGTAAATATTTTAAATGATCTGAACCGTGAATTTGGGCATGAGAACACCTACCAGAACTAATTCCATAGGGAACTCGATGGGGTAGCGATTGAGAGAAATTTTGATACATTTGTTGACTCTCAGAGCAACAGCAGTAGTGAGAAATAGTAGGATGCTGGTGGAATTAGCTTGGGGGAGATTTACACAGTAGTTAATTATGTTCTGAAAGAAAACAAAAGGACAGAGGGTTAGGAAGCTGTGAACTATTTGTCTAAATATAGAAAATGACACTTTCTAGATTAGTTAAAAAATAAATCCCTAGGCAAAACTGCTGGGCAGGAGGTGCTTTGTGGGCATTCGTAGAATAGGGGGGCAAGCACCATGGGAAGGTGGAGGGGTGGAGTGTGGTGTGGGTGTGGGGCTCAGGGGAGAGCTTTTTTTTTTTTAAGTTGAAAAAGAAATGAAAAGACAGTAATGCTCAATAATGAGATGACACTTTCTATGTTTCAGTGGAAAGGACCTAGGAAGTTTGATGATCAGCTTCTTACGAATTTTCCGAGACTACATATATTCTTTAGTTTAGCTCCTATTTCATTCACTTTATTTATTTATTTTATTAAAAAAAATTTTTTAGAGGTTTTCGCTATAGGGTGTGTGCACTCGCTAGAAAGATAGACACAGAGAGACAGAAAGCGAGAAATTATCCCCAGGGGGGATGGACACGCCGCAATCCCTTCTCTCCAATCTCCTCTCGGGATCTTGGGCAGGCACACACACGCGCCCGGTGTGAGTTTAAGCCACCAGGTTTGGGACTCGAACCATGGTGGACTACATGGGAGTCCAGCGACGTAGCCATTAGGCTAGCTGCTGGTGCCACCCATCACTCTTACATTCAGGTACTGTTAGGAGTTGGTAGGGGTGATAACCCTGGTTAGGCAGATACGGATCAGGAAAGTAGCCCGGAGCACAACGAAATCTTAAGGAGGGTCTATATGACCGTCTGTGTTGTGCAAAATAACCCACTGCAGCGTGAGACCTACAAGAAACAGTGAGGAACAAGCCAAGAAAAACACTAACAGGTCAAAGGAGATTTAAGGACACATGCTTCAGAGTAAACACAGCATCTAAAACAAAATAAAGGGGGACTCTGGGAAGGAGCTGGTCCCGTTTGCCTCCTTGGCACTGGCCGGTTCGCTGCATCTCTGGCTCCCTCTGCCAACCTTGTGTTCAGCTTATCTCCCTGTCCTTCCATTCTGTGTGGCCATGGGGAGATGTGGACCTCACAGTTCTCAGCCTAAGAGTACTACATAGTATTTTACATTCTTCAGGTATTTTAGGCTACAGGTCTGTTATGACCAGGTGATAGAGAGAATTATGATAGCTATGGTATCTTAAAGAGCAAATTTTAATGCAAATCGTGCAAGTTTAAAAGGCTGGGCTGAAATGGTTAATGCAGCTGAGAGCGTGCTCCCACTGGCATGTGTAATGAACTAAGACGCTCAATGTACAAGACATGAGATGTTTTCGAGGATCCCCTTGTCTGAGCTGACCCCTCCACCATCTCCTTTTTGGGAACCAGCAGGAGTTTCTCTACGTGGGTCTACATCTCTGTGGAGGCAAGGACCGGGGGCATTTGTAACTCTGGGTGAGGGTTGAAATTACTCACGTAGAAGAAGGAGATGGGACCGGCGTGGAAACTAATCATAATCCCAAAGATGCAAGTCAGCTGGGACAGCAGGATGTGCAGAGCCGCGCCGGCCAGGTAAGCACTGACTGTAGCCTCGGGCAGGTAAGTGGCCACGAAGCCGAAACCTAAGACGCCCATTGATAGCTGCGGGGTTCCGATGGAAAAGAAAACCAGAGCAGGGAAGAAGGTCAGCAAACTGGCAATGGCCCCGGGGCGGGGCGGGTGGGGAGATGGAGGGCACGCCCCTTCTCAGAAAGAGCTTCCCACAAAAAAGTGAGTTCACGCCCCTTCGATGACTCCGATGACTCCGTCTCTCTTTTCCTAACAGAAGTCAGTGAGATAGGGTGGGTCCGTGTTCAGAGGCGCCTGGCAAGCACCAGACTACACTGTTTTCTGCAGTGCCTGCCCTAGACTCTGCTGCCCTCTAAGGTGACTTGGTGGAAACAGTGGTAAGCGATCAGAACACACCTCTGATTTCTTCATCTTGCAGGTTTTGCCAGAGGACGTGTGCACTCCTTGAGAGAGACAGAGAGGGACAGGGAAAGTAAGACAGCACCCCGAGGGCGGATGGCCACTCTGTAATCCCCTCTCCTCCACTGTCCTCTTGAGATTGGGGTGAACATGCACACAAGCCCAGTGTGATTTTCAAGCAGCCGGGGCTCGAGCCACAGTCAACCATGTGCAGTCCGGTGCCTTTACCACCGCACCACCTGCTAGCCCGGCCTCTCTCTCTCTCTCTTTCTTTCTTTCTTTTCTTTTTCTATAGGGCCTGTGCGCTCGCCAGAGAGACGGAGAGAGAGAGAGAGACAGAAGGCGAGAAATCACCTTCGGGGGCGAAGGGATGGCCACGCCGCAATCCCTTCTCCATTCTCCTCTCGGGATCTTGGACACACACACACACACACACACACACACACACACACACGCCTGGCATGAATCTAAGCCACTGGGTCCAGGACTCTAGCCACGGTCGACTACATAGGAGTCCAGTGACATGGCCATTACGCCAACTGCTGGTCCCCAGCCTCTTCCTTTTTAAAAGGCCCTTTCATTAGAAGCTTTGATAGCCCCTTTCAGACGATAGCTCCTCTGTGAGGAATACCGGTTTTCACCGCAGAGGAAGAGACAGTTAAGAAAAAAACGGGGCCAGTTTGAGCTTCTTTGCCTTTGATTCTATGAAGAAAAAAAGATTAAGTTGATTTATATGTATCTTCAGGATTACATGTGTGTAAGATATGTACATAATCCAAACAACTTTAGCTCAACTAAAAGTTATTATTTTCCTTCAGGATCATATACATCCTGAACATGTAACTAAATATGGTATTTTACATGTACATATGTACATATACAATACACATATGTAACATGTAATAAAGTTGTATAACCACAGAGGATCTAAAAGACACCAAACTATTAACAGAAGTTACCTTTGGAAAATGAGATTAGAAGTTTGGGGACAACATTTTATAATTTACATTTTTTTAATTGCTTAAGAGTTTTGCAAGGGACCAGCAGGTGGCATGGTGGTTGGGGCACTGGACTCCCACATGGCCAAGCATGGTTTGAGTCCCAGACCCAGTGGCTTGTTTTCTCACTATCATTCTCCCTCTCTCTCTCTCTGTTTCTCTCTGGTCAAATTGAAGAATAATAATAAATAAAATTAAATAATTTTTTAACTTAAAGAATTATTTTTATTTATTTATTTATTTGTTTGTTTATTTATCTTAATTTAGTCAGAGAAGGATAAAGTGAGAGAGAAAGAGAGAGGGAAAGGGAGAAAGCAAGCCACCAGGTCTGGGACTTGAACTGCAGTCGGTCATGTGAGAGCCCAGCACCCTAACTACCACACCACCTGCCGGCCCTTAAATAAATAATTTTTTTAAAGGGGGACACTGGCAGGTGGTGTGGTATGGTGGTTAAAGGCGCTGGACTCCCACATGGCTGACCATGGTTCAAGTCCCAGGTGTGGCGGCTTGCTTTCTCACTTTCTCTCTCTCTCTCTGATCAAAATTTTAAAAAGATAGTAATAATAAATAAAGTTAAATAAAATAATAATTAAAACATAATTATTTATTTTATTTTATTTATTCATTTACTTTCTTTTTAAAAATTTGACTAGAGAGAAACACACACAGAGAGAGGGAAAGCAAGCCACCAGGTCTGAGACTTGAACCATGGCTGGCCATGTGGGGGTATCCAGCGCCTTAACCACCACACCATCTGCTGGTCCCAAAATAATAATTTTATAAAGAGTTTTGCAATATAAGTGTTAACTTTTTATTTATTTATTTTAGATTTTCGCCACAGGGCATGTGCATTTGCCAGAGAGAGACAGAGAAAGAGAAAGAGGGAAAATGAGAAATTACCCTCCAGGAGGATGGCCACACCACAATCCCTCCACGTCCTTTCAGGATTTTGGACAGGCACGCATACGGGCCCGTCAAGTATATCAAACCGCCAGGTCCAAGACTTGAGCTGCAGAGCTGGCCATGTGGGATCCAGTGCCTTAACCACTGTACCACTTGCAGGCCCCACACATGTTCAGCTTTTATAATAAAATCACTGTTAGACAATTGCTAGTCAGAGAATGAGGCCATTAAGAGGACAGGTTAAGAAAGCGGACAGTGCTGAAGACTATTCACGGTAGGGGGAAAAGAACGAAGTAGAAGTCTTGAAGCCCACTGTCAGGGGCTCATAAGAGTTCAGTGAAGTTTATCTCCTTTTTTTTTTTTTTTCTTTTAAGAGAGGTTTTTGCTATAGGGCATATATGCTCACCAGAAAGACAGAGAGAGACAGAGAGACAGAAGGTGAGAAATCACCTCCTATGGGGGATGGCCACACCATCCCTTCTCCATTCTCCTCTCGGGATCTTGGGCACGCACGCACACCTATCTGGCATGAGTTTACACCACTCAGTCCAGGACTCGAACCGCAGTTGACTACATGGGAGTCCAGTGACGTAACCATTACACCATGTGCTGGTCCCAAGTTTCTCCCCTTCAAAGGATGTGGAGCTGGACTCCCACATGGTTGACTGTGGTTCAAGTCCCAGACCTGGCAGCTTGAGACTCATGCTGGGCATGTGTGCCCACAGGCCCAAAACCCCAAGAGGAGACGGGATTGCAGTGTGGCCAACACAGGAGATGATCTCTCACTTTCTCTCTGTGTCTCTGGCAAGCACATGTGCCCTATGGGGGTGGGAGGGAACCTCTCTTAAAAAAAAAAAAAGAAAGAAAGAAAAAGAAAAAAAGAGTTGTATTGAAAACAGGACAGTCCCTGGGCTGGAGAACCTGGTTTCAATCCTGGTCTGGCTACTCGCTGGCTGTATGAGCGTGGACAAGTTAACTCTCTGTGAGCCTGTCTCCTCATCTATAAATATGAGTAAGAGTGCACAGTGTTTTGCATGGGCTAAATTACATAACACACGTAAAACATCTGGCTTGAATCTGAAAATAGTGACACACGGAAATATACGTAGGCTCTTCAAAACGATTCATGGAAAAAGAGTATTATGGAAAAAAGTGAGGTCAGCCTGTGGATAGACCCTACATGGCTGATCGTGCGCTTTGAGTCCTGGCCTTGGTGGCTTGAAAGCATGCTGGCGGCACGTGTGTGCGTGTGCGTGACCGAACACAAGGGCCGTTGGCGAAGATGGGATTGTGTTGTGGCTGTTCCCCACAGGGAGCACCTTCTCACTTTCCTTTCTCTCTGTTTTTCCCGCCACCACACATACCTTCTGGCATGCGCACGCGTGCTCGCGTGCACACACACACACACACACACACACGAAAGGAATAACCTGTGCACGTATTTTCTTTCTTTTTAAAAAAGGTTTTTGTCGTAGGGATATGACAGAGGAGAGAGACAGGGAGAGGGAGTGAGAAATCTCCCCCAGGAGGGGACGGTCACGCCACAATCCCTCTCTTCCACTCTCCTCTTAGGATTTTGGGCACACACGCACATACACATGGTGTGATTTTCAAGCCGCTGGGTCTAGGACTCAAATCATGGTCAGCCACATGGAAATCCAGTGCCTTAACCACCATGCCACCTACTGGACCTTGTATTTTCTCTCTTTCTTTTTTGCACCTAACTAAACTTGCACTTTAATTGTTTTCCATGAACTTTTTGAAGTCCCCCCCCATATGTCACTTGTTTGTTATGCCACCCCTTCCTCTCACCTTGTGAGTGGGTAAATACCTACAATGACCATAGAACTCTTCCCTGCCCACCGGGACTCGGCGTCAGCTTCAGTGTTAGCGTAATGTTGTCAGCAGCCGTTGTGAGAGTCGGCTATAAGACGAAACCTGTTCTTTATCTTAGAATGTTTTTGTTATGATAGAACATGTGTGTGCACATGTGAGGAGGGGAGAGAACATATATATGTGTGTGAGAGAAAGAGAGAGAGATGAGCACCCCCACAGAGCCGGGCCATGCCATCATCCCCTCCCTCTAGTCGGACCACTTGTCCACATGCCCAGCATGTTTCGGGCTGACTGGCTCAGGATTTGAACTGTGGTCACCATGTAAGATCTAGCTTCACTCTCTCTTTAAGTATTATTTATTTAATTTTATTTACTTATTCATTGATTTTTAATTTGACCAGAGAGTGAGAGAGAGCGAAGGTGAAAAGCAAGCCACAGGTCCAGGAATCGAACCGTGGCTGGCCACAAGGGAGTGTCCAGTGCCTTAACCACCACACCACCTGCTGGTCCCAAGATCTGGCTTCTCTTGAGCAGTGCCTTACTGCTGTCCCACAGAGCCAGCCCTTATAGAAAGTCAGTTCTTGTATTACAGCAAAAGCTATTATAGTAGTAAATGTTGACTGAATGAAAGGAAGGACTCAATAAGTGGTTGTTTCCTTCCCAACGAAATCATCAAAACGTTCATCTTTTTCTTTATGTTCTTTTGGCACTGGATTCTTCACATTTATGAAGTATTATTTTGTGCTTCAAGATGATTTAGAGCATGGGTTTTAGAGTCACACAATCGTAAACTTGAACCTCAGTTGGGTATCTTACTGGCTATGTGACTCCGAACAGCTCAGTTAGCATCGCTCTGCCTTTACTTCCTTAAAATAAGACCCACAGTAATGCCAGCCCTCATCAAGACAGTCGTTGTGGGGATCAGATGAGGCGATG